ATAGATAGATAGATAGATAGATAGATAGATAGATAGATAGATAGATAAAAAAAAGTGCTTGCCGTCCAACTGGGGATCTGTGTTTGATCTTCGGAACCCACATGGTGGAAGGGGAAAGCTAACTCTGGAAATTTGTTCTAATGTCAGCGTGTCTCACATGCATACTGGCTCATCTGTGTTTCCATATGTCTTGGTATATCTGCCCACCTACATGCGTACATATAATACGAATACACACAAACACACACAGTAAACAAATTTTTTTTAAAGTTCTGTTCTTTATCCTTTTTTTTTTTTTTTTTTCTTTTTTTCTTTCCTGAGACAGAGTCTCAGGCTGTCCTCAAACTCACAGAGATTCCTCTGCCCCTGCCTCCCACGTGCTGGGATTAAAGGTGTGTGCCACCACAGCTCTCCGTTCTTTATCTTTAATATTTGTTTCCTCTCTTAAATGTTGTGAAGTGAGCAAGTGTCTGTAAGCATAGGGAGCTACTCTAGGGAGAGTGACATGTCTGCATTTGTTAGTGATTCTAGGATGGTCTGCCTCCTCATTGGCTCCTGTTGTCTCTCTTACTTTCTAATCCTAGAAGTCTGTTTGCAGTGATAAAGCAATGTGGTGTCTTAACCATTGAGGCTGCTGCAACAATAGATCATAGACTAGGTATTTATTTCTCACAGTTCTGAGGCCTAAGAGGTTGAAGAACAAGTCTCTAATAGAAACAGTGTCCGATGAAGGTCCTCTTTTTCATGGATAATGTTTGGTTTTTGTTTTGCTTTTGAAATGGTCTCACTTTGTAGCCCTGGCTGTCCTGGAACTTACTGTATAGACCATGCTAGCCTAAAGCTCTTAGAGCTCTACCTGCCTCTGCCTCTTGAGTGCAGGGATTAAAGGAGGGTGCCAGCAGATGACGCTTTCTTACTGTGTTCTCACTTGGTGGAAGAAGCAAAGCAGTTAGTTCTCTGGTGCCTTGGATGGGGCATTAATGCATGCATAAGTCCCATCACAAGCTAATCACTTTGTACACCTACCTCCTAATAGCATCACTTGGGGGCTAGGCATTCAACATAAGTTCAGACCACAGCATGTGGCTTCGCTGTCACTCCTTAAAACCTTCGTAGAGATGGCCAGAGAAGAGGGGAGACCATGATGGGAAGAGCCGTTCATTCATTCATTCATCAATCTATTAATTTATTTCTATTTATTTATTTATTTATTTATTTATTTATTTATTTATTTATTATGTATACAGTGTTCTCCCTGCATGTACACCTGCAGGCCAGAAGAGGGCATTAGATCTCACTATAGATGGTTGTGAGTCACCATGTGGTTGCTGGGAATTGAACTCAGGACCTCTGGAAGAGCAGCCAGTGCTCTTAACCTCTGATCCATCTCTCCAGCCCTTATTTATTTATTTTTATTTCTATCACATCACCTTTATATTCATGCTCTCCTTTGTTGAATTTCTCTTTCCTTCCTTCCATCTATCCATCTCACTATGTTAGAGAGGCTAGCCTCAGCCTGGTAGACTCAAATGTTCCTTCTGTATCAGCCTCAGAGCAGCTGGGACAGTGGTGGAGGCCTTTGTGCCCATTACCCAGCTTCTTTATATGTGCCTTTTGGTTTGTTAATGTTTATAGTGCTAGAGATCTGAACCCAGTATCTTGCACAAGAGGTAAGTGTTCAGAACAGCATAAGGTCAGAAAGTCAGGCATAACAATCAAGATATGGAAGCAAAGGATAAGTCCTCAAAAAGAATCAACTTCTAAGCAGGAGCTTGGGAATGGATCTTTGGAGTTTTTCCACGGTACATAAGAGGCTACTCTTTTAACACATGTTATATCTAACCATCCTGGTCAGTGTACTGTGGTAGGTACTGACTTTGCAGGGCTCCTGGGAAATCAGTGAGCATTTTAGAGTGGGCTCAGTGTGTTAAAGTCATTAGGTTTGGGTATAGGTAGTAATTACTCCTCAGTTTCTAGCAGAATGCTGACATTCTTCTCAAACAGTTGAAATTCCTGGTCTGTGCTTTCTTCAGCAGGTATCATTGAGTGAGCATCTTTTTGCTCAGTGGGACTGCTTCAGTAATGGGAAGGCCTTGCAGTGGGTTTGTGAGCATAGCAGTGAAGCTCCTGTTCTAACGGGCCTTCGTTCTTTGCACTGAGAATCCCTAAGCGCAGTGCCACAGCATGAGAGCTCTCAAGAAACCACAACATCCTAACACCTGTCTTTTCTCTCTTAGGCAACAGTTACAACACTCCACAAATCAGCTTGCCAAGGAAACAAATGAGTTGCTAAAGGAATTAGGGTCCTTGCCCCTGCCTTTGTCTGCATCAGAACAGGTTGGTATTTTCTGTTTTGTTTATTTATTATTATTATTTGTTTGTTTTTGTTTTTGTTTTGAGACAGGGTTTCTCTGTGTATCAAGCTGTAGCTGTCTTGGACTGGCTTTGTAGACCAGGCTGGCCTCAAACTCACAAAGATCCACCTGCCTCTGCCTCCCAAGTGCTGGGATTACAGGCGCGCTACCACCCCCGGCCTGTTTCGTTTATTAGTAGAGAAGGACTTTGTGCTGATACAGTGGCAGTATGTGGAACAAAAGCAAGTAGGGCTTTTGTTCTGGTTCTTGATATTCTCTGAACCTTTCTTTCTTTTTTGAACCTTAATTTCTTTACCATGTGCCCTAGTTTTATTTCTGTAGCTGTGATAAAGTACCACAACAAAATGCAATCGAGAAGAAGGTGGTTTTTTGTTTGTTTGATTTTTAGTTCACAATTCCAGGTTATATTCTATTACTGTGGGGAGATCAAGGTAGTAGGAACTTAAAGCAAAGCAACTAGTCGCATCTCATCCACAGTCAAGAAGAGAGAAAAATGAAAGCCTGCATGCTTGTTCTTTTCCTCACTTGCTGTGTGTAGCTCCATTACTCTTACATAGTTCTTGATCTCCTACCTGGGGAATGTTGCTGTCAACAATGGGTTGGATTCTTCCACACTAATCAACTTAAGACAGTCTCCCATGGACATGATGAATGCTCAAGCCAGTGTAAACAATCCTTCACTGAGACTCTCTTCCCAAATAATTATAGGTTGTGTAAAGATGACCATTCAAGTTAATCACACTGCCTGTACAGAGAGGCACAGTATGACTATTGTGGCAGTAATGTATGGACCAGATGTAGCACAGCCTGGCATCCAGCATGTGCTGAGTGTGTGATGGCTACTGCTATTATTTAATAACACATTACAATATATTTAGCCAAGGAGGAATTAAACATCTTTCATATCTTCTGTGACTTCTGTGTCTTACCAAAGGTCACCTATTGGTCTTAAGATAAAGGAATGCTGAGGTAAGACTTTTTTTCCCAGTTGGAGATATTCTGTCATTAAGTGCTTATCTGGCCTGTGTACAGCCTTTGGTTTGGTCCCCAGCATCACTGACAAAAATATCTTAGTGCACACATCCTCTGGTCATCTTTATGTGGCTGCTTTGGTTTTTACTCGTGCTGATACTTCAGTGATGGGCCTGTTCTCCCTCCATCCAGTTTCTCCAGCTTGCTTCTAAATCGTCCCTTTCTTTCTTCTAGCTGTGTGCTGAAAGAGTACACATTTACCAACAGTTTTCATAGTAATGACAAAGGAGTCTAACGGCCTAATGCAGGCAGAGTATTGTAAGTGCTTAAGAATGAAATATTAGGGCTGGAGAGATGGCTCAGAGGTTAAGAGCACTGGCTGTTCTTCCAAAGGTCCTGAGTTCAATTCTCAGCAACCACATAGTGGCTCATAACCATCTATAATGAGATCTGATGCCCTCTTCTGTCATGCATACAGGCAGAATACTGTATAAATAATAAATAAATAAATCTTTAAAAAAGAAAAACAGAAAAGAAATATTAGCCCAAGCAAAGTATAAATAGAAAGTCAAGTCTCCTACCAAAAGTTTCATCTAATGTGTTCTAAAGACAAGTGTATTTTTGGATTATGCATGCTATTGTCCCCTTCCATTAGCCTGAATCATTAAGAACACAAAATCGAGCTGCAGACATGCTCTCCTCAGTGAAATACAACTCCATTTCTCTCCTGTTTGCTGACTTCCTTTTGCCTTTTCCATATCTAACTGGGCTCATCCCCATTACTCATCTTTTCCCCAGTGCCCTATATGTTAAACCAGAAGCTCTCAACCTGTAGGTTTTGACCCCTTTGGGAGTCAAATGACCCTTCCACAGCGGTCAAATATAGATATCCTGCCTGTCAGATATTTACATTACTATTCATAATAGTAGCAAAATTACAATTATGAAGCAACAAATGTAATTTTATGTTGGGGGTCAGCACAACATGAAGAACTGTATTAAAGGGTCACAGCGTTAGGAAGGTTGAGAACCACTGTGTTATGGCATGTCCTGCTTCCCATTTCCCATGTGTACATACTATTAGAGCTCTCTCAGCTGCCAACTCCTAATCTTTTTTGAGCTTCCTTCTTTTGAGACAGTTTTTCACTGTGCAGCCCAGTTTGCTCTGGAGTCTGTGGCAGTTCTCTGCCTCCCCACTGCCAGCTCCTACAGAGGTGCCACCACGCCCTGCTTCTTTGTTTTCCTTGGACTTCTTGCTTGCCCTATATCTTCTGAAACGTGCTCTTCTACGATGCTTTTCGGTTCTACCTCCAACTCTGATGGTGCCTGAGATGAGTTTCAGCCTTCTTTACTGTTTCTTCCTCAAAGTTGGCATGCCCCAAAGTTCTGCTATTGATCTTTTTATTTTCTCAATTCATCCTTTGTTTCTCAGGAGCCCGACTTTTTAATGACTTCAGTATCCTCTTTATAATGATGGCACCCAGATATTTTCCCAGCTTTAGCCCCAAAGCTTTAGGTATTTTATTGTGCTCACAGCTGCTGTTGCCAGTCCCTGTTCTGTTCTCTCCAACTTATTTGTGGTGCTGGGAATGGAATCCAGAGCCTTGTATACGCTAGATATGTGATCTACCAGTGAACTATATCTCCAGCCCTTGCCATCTCCTCTTGAATATACTACCTCCCTATAAAGTATAGTAATAAGGTCTTATTCTGAATTCCTCATTTAAATCTATGAAATCATTGACTATATTTAATGATTTATTTATATATATGAATATATTTATGAATATATTTAATGATATATTTATAGAAATTTGCACATGCAGGCTGGGTATATATAGCTCAATGGTAGACCATGTGCAAGGTCTTTGGTTCCATACCAAGCACAGGGAGGAAAAATATGCATGCCTTTTGATCTATTGCCATTCATATAAATTTGTCATAAAGACTTCAGTGTAAATTACTATTACAGTGGGACTCACTTTAGCTTTATAGTGATTTAAAACTGGCAACAGTAAAAGAAATATTTACATGAAATATACTGAAAACAAGTTTGTAAAATGTATGCACTAATTAGTATTAATAATTGTAAAGAACATAGGCTGGAGAGATGGCTCAGAGGTTAAGAGCACTGGCTGTTCTTCCAAAGGTCCTGAGTTCAATTCCCATAACCAAATGGTGGGTCAAAACCATCTAGGGTGAGATCTGGTGCCCTCTTCTGGCCTGCAGGCACACCTGCAGGCAGAACACTGTATAAATAAAAATAAATCTTTAAAAAAAAAAAGGAAATAATTAGTTTAAAAATTGTAAAGAGTATAGTAAAGCAGAAGATATTTATGATATATTTTAAAAATAGCATTTTGGGGCTGAAGGTAACTCAGTGGTTGCTTGGCATGTATGTGTTTGACCCAGTGAGTACTATCTATCTATCTATCTATCTATCTATCTATCTATCTATCTATCTA